AATTTTTTTAGAGATTTATTTTATTATTTATTTATGTGTATGTGTCTGTAGATGGGGGGCGCTGATAGATGCATGCAGCCACCAAAGAGGCCAAGAGAGGGCACTGGATCCCCTGGAGCTGGAGTTACAAATGGCGGTGAGCCTGAAATGGGTGCTGGGAATTGAACTCTGGTCCTCTGCAAGAGTGGCCCTGGGTTTAACCACGGAGCCATCTCCCCAGCTCCCAATTTAATTTTCCTAACTTAATTTTTAATTGAACATCCTTCTTGGCAATCCCATATCCAATGCGTTATGATTGTATCTCCCTCTTCCCCCTTTTCTCTCCCTCCCATGCCTGCCCATCCCGTTTCCCCCAGCTGGTCTTCCTCTTATTTTCATGGCTATTGTTAGTATTATTTATTATTATTACTATTATTATTGCCCAATTTCTAACACAGGGCAAATGTACAGAGCCCTGACTGTGAAGCCCTGGTGACAGGTTCCATGGTGCTGCCTTCCTCGCAGCATACAGCATACCTACCATAGAAACACCTGTCATGTGAGTGACAGGTTCCATGGTGCTGCCTTCCTCGCAGCATACAGCATATCTACCATAGAAACACCTGTCATGTGAGTGGCAAGTGTCTGTCCCCAGTGATGTGCTGATACTTTACCATTGGACAAAAGTCACAACGTCCTGACATCTGCAGATTAGGACTCAACATTATCAACACTCAGGCCCTTTTCTCTGATAGGATCTTTGTTTTTTACTAACAGCGCTTATCAAACATTGACCGTGACACAATCACAAAGTCCTCTTAAGGAAACAGGTTCTGAGAGCCCACACCCAGTAGCTCTGAAGGCGGCCTCCACACGGGCCTGGGGATGGGGGCCTCCACGTGGGCTTGGGGATGGGGGTTTCCACGTGGGGCTGGAGATGGTGGCCTCCACTTGGGCCTGGGGATGGGGGCTTCCATATGGGGCCTGGGGATGGGGGCTTCCACGTGGGGCCTGGGGATGGGGGCTTCCACATGGGGCCTGGGGATGGGGGCTTCCACGCGGGCCTGAGGATGGGGATGTGAAGAGGAATCTGAATAAATTAATCCTACACTAACTCAGAAATGAGTATAATAAGGGGTTCTCTATTTAGGGGGACTCACAGACCACAGTCCTCTGCATGAATGGGGAACAGGAATCAAATCCAGCATCCAGGCAAGAGAAGAGGGGAGAGGGCAGGCACTCACCTTTTTGGTTCCCAAGGCCACGCCCAACCTGGTCCAGCCTCTTTTTTTTTTTTGGTTTTTCGAGACAGGGTTTCTCTGTGGTTTTGGAGCCTGTCCTGGAACTAGCTCTTGTAGACCAGGCTGGTTTCGAACTCACAGGGATCCGCCTGCCTCTGCCTCCCAAGTGCTGGGATTAAAGGCGTGCGCCACCACCGCCCGGCTCTGGTCCAGCCTCTTAAAGGCCATTGGCTGAAAGAGATTCCCCATCACCTCTTTTGTCTAAATAAGAGAGTTCCAAACCCAATACAAAACTATATACAATAAGAACAGATATCAAGTATAAGAATTAGAATTACAACCAGTATAAATAATATTAAGCAAGAAACATATGTTAAATGTTTCAATATTTATCCTATCTAAGTCTTATATTAGAAGTGGCTTGGCTAAGTCATGAGAAGAAAGTAACTATGACTATCTAGTCTTCAACCCCATTGAAGGCCTGAGAAGGGAGACAATATTACTTGAGTAGGCAGGAAGAGCAATCAAGCTGCTTCCAAAATGTGCAGTAGAGGACAGAGACAACTGGATACCTGGGCAATCACCCAAAGTCTCATTTGCAACGTTGGAGCAACCAACTTTGGCTAAGGCCTAGAGTAACTGGCAGACCGTTTTCAGAGGCAGGAAAGTTTTAGAATGGCCTTACCCTGTCTTGGCAAGGTTTGGCAGTCTTTTTTTTCTTCTTGTATCCTGCTTGTCCAGTCCAGGCACTGTGCATTTTGTCAGTGGTTGATGCATGGGCCGTTTCCTGCCCGAAAGGCCAGGTTTGTTAAGAAGAAAACAACGTCCAAATGGAGTGTCTTTGGGACTCATCATTCTTTTGGGAATAGATCGGTGCTCTCAGGAGCAACTGTGTCTCACATCAACAGAACCCTAAATTATTTAAATGCCATATTTTATGGCTTTTTGAAGTGGTTGAAGATTATCAGTCTATGCAGAATGCAATCTCCATTTATCTAAAGAACCTGATTAGTCGAACTATAAGTATGACAAACATGGATGACTATTGACCTATGAATCTTAATACCTACTCTATATAGCTTAAAGACTAAGACTTTCTATTAGAATGTTAGACAATCTTTAAACAATTGTGCAGCAAATAAGTACAATGGCCTCAATGTAAACAATGTATAAGTATCTTGATCAGAAGTACAAACATGCATGCATACAATATGACAAAATAACTTTGCATGGGTGTACAAATATTGTAGTTAGGAAAAAAAATCCTAAGACAAGTCGCTCTGCCAGTGCACAAAAATCCGATTAAAACAGATTAAACCAAATAAAATGCCCATATTTTATTAAGTGCAGCACTCTCTGGTGGCAGAGAGCATGGTGGGGAGACAGAAAAGCAGGGAGCATATGCAAACCCGGGACCACGTGTTCCTCCTCTGGGAGCCCACTTAAATACCCTGTCGCAGTGGTCCTGTCCCTCCTCCAGGGAGGAGTCAGGACCTGGCATTCTGGGATTTGGAGTTCCCAGGCCAGGGAGCTGGCGAGGATGCCAGGGGATGGGGTTATGCTCCCAACTTAACAACTGTAAACAAAAATAGGAGCGTATTCAATATAACAAATATAATTTGAATTTGTATCAGTATACAAGAATCTATACTGTGGTAAATTATATATAATAGTTTACAAGTATTCGCTCTATCACTCACAATTATTATTAGTGTAAGCCCATGACACATCTAGGCAGCAAGCAAATATCTGAACTATTGAGTCAAGTTTCCTCTTGCTCAAACTTAACCTCTTCCTCACCTCTCCCTTCTCGGGGTGACTCCAAGTTGCTCTTCCTTGCCAGTGAACAAGGTATTTTGGTTACATCAGGTTTCCAGCCGTCCTAGGGAGCAAGCAGAAGGCAGCTGAAGCTGGCTGGCGGCCCTAGGCTTCCAGAAGGAAATAGACACTTCCTGTTCCTGTGGTACCCTGAACCAATCCTCTCAGCCCTACCCCACCCCCTCACCTTCCCCACCCACACCCCACCCTGGCTCTTCAGAATTCACAGGGGAACCCGGCAGTGTCTCAGAGGCCTGCAGGTGGGGGAAGCCCTGTTCTTGGCACATATCCCATAAAGGTTACCAAGCAATCTTGTGACTTCCCTGCTGCTTACTGTCATGGAATTCCTGAGGTGATTTTTTTCCTTTCCCTTCAGTTTGGAAAGGCTCAGCCCAAGCTGTGGCAGACTAACCACCGAGGGCCTCTAAAAGGGACAGTAAGCTCAACTCCCAGTTTGGAAGCAAGACTGAAGATTCCCCAAGAACCAGAAAGCCAGCAGGGCTGGGAATGAAAGCCATGGCCTTGTATGACATGTTAGGTAAGTGCTTAGACCAACCCTTCTATCCTGTAAAGACCCTGTCCCTCACTGGGGATTCTAGCCCTGGCTGGGGGAGCCGCCATCCCTGACCATGACCCCAACCCCTCCTGGGGGGATTCTAGGTAGGGGTTTTACCCCTGACCATGCCCCCAGCCCCTTACTGGGGCATTCTAGGCAGGGTTCCACCTCTGACATCCCAGCCCCTCATTGGGGGATTCTAGGTGAGAGGAGCCTCCATCCCTGCCCATGCCTCCAGCCCCTCACTGGGGAATTTTAGGCGGTGTTCCACCCCTGTCCATGCCTCCAGCTCCTCACTGGGGGACTCTAGGTGGGGATGGAGGGATGAGGTGGGGTAAGGGTGTCCTTACTCCTGAGCCATGCCCCAAGCCCAGTGAGGAGCATGAGGTGTGGATGAATCGTGACTAGGCAACACTTGTCAATAATACACTAACCTAGCTTCCATCCTTAAAACTGCAAATAATAATAATAATAATAAACTAAAAATAAATAAATCATGATTAGTACATGGACTGTTTATAAAGTTAAAGTCCTCCAGCTGTAGTTACTTGTGAATTTATTTTCCCAGTGACCTGGCTAGTTTCATATAAACTTAACCTAAGTAGAGTGATTTTAGAAGGGGAACCTCAGTTGAGAAAATGCCCCCACGGGTTTGGTCTGTAAACCTGAGCTTTTCTTCACTGATGTCCCATGTTGGAGGCGTAGTGAGAGATACTACACTTACACATGGCTTCAGTTCTGGGGGTGACAGCACCTAGGCTTTGATCAAAATCAGTGATTGTTGCCTTCTGTTTAAAGGTCAGTTATTGTTCCCTTCTGTTTAAAGTAGGTGATTGTTACCTTCTGTTACAAGTCAATGTTTCTTATCTGAGTTCTTCCTGAAGGATTCCAGAGTTTTGCAAAACTTAGTGAGGAGACAACCTGGCAAACGGGGAGGTCTCCAGCTGAGGACTGCTTAGGCACATGGCTCCTTCAACCAGCTCCAGATGAGAGGTGCAGGAATAGCTTGTTAGGTTTAAGTTGTATAACAACCACCACCACAACAACAAAATGACTTTTGGGGAAGCAAGTGATGGAGGAGGGTCATCTTTCTATCTGTTGTTTCATTGGTTAAATAAAGAAACTGCCTTGGCCCTTTAATAGGACAGAAAATTAGATAGGCGGAGTAAACAGAACAGAAAGATGGGAGAAAGAAGCTGAGTCAGGCATTCGCCATGATTCTCCCACTCCAGACAGACGCAGGTTAAGATCTTCTCTGGTAAGCCACCTCATGGGCTACACAGATTATTAGAAATGGGTTAGATCAATATGTAAGAGCTAGCCAATAAGAGGCTGGAACTAATGGGCCAGGCAGTGTTTAAAAGAATACAGTTTCCGTTAATTATTTCAGGTATAAAGCTAGCCGTGTGGGCGGCCGTGAGCTGGGGCGGCAGGAACGCAGCCCGCCGCTCCGCTCCTCTCAACAAGCAAGGGGAATTGAGTCCCTCAGAGACTGGACTCCCCTACTGCAGAAAACTAAAATTCATCTCAGAGTGACCCTTGGACCCACACAGAACAGAACAGCTGCACTTGGTGTCCAGTGTGGTGGTGCTTGGAGAAAGGAGGGATCCAACACTCCAGAACTGAAGGTAAGAAGTGCGCTTACGTATGTGAGGATTCCAGGATTTGGCAGGGACATGGGGAATTTAAACTCCCCATCTCAGGATCAACAAAATACACAATTGCTAAAATGCTTGTTGGAAAAGCATTGACTGTGCAATTATTGCAAATATTAAAGATACAAATAAAATGGCTCTTGAGATGAAGAATAAATCAAGGAAAAAGGGATCTTCCTAATGAAAAAGAGGGAAGTGTTTATGTTCGGAGGTTTATGTTCAGAAACCTACAGAAATGATGAAGCGGTGGTATATGGGCTGCTTTTACTCTGTGTAAGACAGATATGATCACTGAGCTACACAGAATAAAATTCCTCCAAATGGTTGGAAGAAATGACTGATAGCTGGAACTCCCAGCGCTCTGGCTGCATGCTGCCTGTCAGCTTTTTCAGAGACAGGCTGACCAGCGCAGAGCAGCAACACCCCAAAGAATGACAGGCAGGCAGGGGTCCACCGTTGCAGTATGCACTAGCACAGCCAGCCCATGACCTAGAATTTTCATGTTTGCTTGTTTGTTTGATTTTGGTTTGAATGTTTTTCATTTTTTCTTTAGAATGGGAATAACTCAATATTGAAGATCCCTGTGTGGGAAATATTTTTTCCCTAATAGTGGAATATTATTATATCAATATTAATATATATCAATATCAGCGGTCCCTTCATGGGAGAAAGAATGAAAACAAGCTCACCTTCTACTACAAGACAATCACACCAGGACATCAATTACTGAGCCGATGCTGTTTAGTTTCCATAGATGCCAGGCGGTAGTGGCGCACGCCTTTAATCCCAGCACTTGGGAGGCTGGCAAGCAGATCTCTATGAATTCGAGGCCAGCCTGGTCTACAGGGCAAGTTCCAAGATAGCCAGAGCTACACAGAGAAACCCTGTCTTTAAAAAAAAAAAAATTGCCATAGATATTAGCCATTCATCTGGTGGCGGGTGTTCTCTTCCCCTATCCTCCCAATCATCTGATTAGATATTAGCCATTCATCTGGTGGCAGGTGTTCTCTTCCCCTGTCCTCCCAATCATCTGATTAGATATTATCCATTCATTTGGTGGCGGGTGTTCTCTTCCCCTGTCCTCCCAATAATCTGATTAATGCTTGAATGAAGGGTCAATTTTCATAGTAAATGAACTAAAAGAACAAAAATCACGATTTTAAACTAACATCGGGTGTGCCCTTGCCTATTTATCACTATGGAGTATTTGGCTGTGCTCTTTAAGTTGCTTTTTGGAGACTCTTGGCTAAATTCTATTAAAATGTAACAACTGTAACAACAGGTTATTAGATTATTAAATAATATGTCTGCTAAGGCAAAAACTCATAGAAATAATCTTCTATTGATAAAGAGCCTAAATTTTTTTCTTTTTTTAATTGATTTTTATTGAGCTCTATATTTTTCTCTACTCCCCTTCCTGCCTCTCCCCTTCAACCATCTCCCATGGTCCCCATGCTCCCAATTTACTCAAGAGATCTTGTCTTTTTCTACTTCCTATATAGATTAGATCCATGTAAGTCCCTCTTAGTATCTTCACTGTTGTCTAGATGCTCTAGGTTCTCTGGGATTGTGGTTTGTAGGCTGGTTTTCTTTGCTTTATGTTTAAAAACCACCTATGAGTGGGTACATGTGATAATTGTCTTCCTGAGTCTGGATTACCTCACTCAATATGATGTTTTCTAGCTCCATCCAATTGCCTGCAAATTTCAAGATGTCATTTTTTTCTGCTGTGTAGTACTCCATTGTATAAATGTACCATTTTTTTTTTTTTGGTTTTTCGAGACAGGGTTTCTCTGTGGTTTTGGAGCCTGTCCTGGAACTAGCTCTTGTAGACCAGGCTGGTCTCAAACTCACAGAGATCTGCCTGTCTCTGCCTCCCAAGTGCTGGGATTAAAGGCGTGCTCTCCTTATCCATTCTTTGGACACGGGGCATTTAGGTTAATACAGGTACCTTAGTGTCGGAAGCTATTGGGGGCTGTGGACCCTGTGAGTGGCTTGTTTTTCCTGTGCCTGCAGCTGCTCTGAGAAAACAACTTGTTTTCCTCTTCTCTGAGCAGCCTGCAGCTACTCTGAGCACAAGACCTTGATGGCAGGCTGGTGGGTCTGCAGCTGAAAGATCCTGAGAGCTGGGACATGGCCAGAGCATTATATAAGGTTCCCCGAGAACAATAAACTTAGCATTCTTTTATCAAGGATGATCAATGTGTTTTTATCTCTTGTCTATCTGTGATTTTAATTCTCCAGGCCAGTTTCTGGTCAGTTTTTACACGTTAGAAAGAATGTTTAATGTAGTACAAAGAATTTTACCTTGTTGGGGATTATTGATTGCTCCTGAAAAAATGCAAAGAGGAGATTCTCATAATTATTTTAAATTTAAATTAAACAGAAAATCCAATCACAAAAGGTACAGATTTAAAAAGATCAGTTACACACTCTTAATGGTTTTCAAACATTATTGGGTGGGTGATATTAACTGGTTGTACCCCACTGTTGGACTGATTACTCAAGAATTAAGTAATTTTTTCAAATTTTGCAAGGTGAATGATTTACACATTCCAAAAGTAATACTCTGCAGGCATTTGCTTTCATTAAGTTCTGAAAAGCCTGATTCTGTAACTACACATTTATTAGAAACAATAGCTATAATGGACACACTGACACAAATTAAAACTGCTAATGCCCCAGACTGTATGTCTAGGAAAATGAAACAATGTTCTGCACATTGTAACAGAAAGCTTGTTACAGGATGTTGTGATCCAGCTGCCCTCACTCCCCCTGACTGACAGCGGAACTTCCTTGTGGTCTGTCATTGACAAGGGTGTTTGTGTTCTTTCTGGCAGGTGGTTTTCCACAGAAGCAGTAGAGGTATAAAAGGCTTTAGCTCTGGGAAAAATAAAGGTTGCTGTTCTTCTACCTGAAAAGAAGCCTCCGGGTCTCAATCCTGGCACCCCCCATCCCCCTACCCTCCCACCCCCATCTCAGCATCTAAGCTGCGCTGGTGGCATAGCAAGAGGGCTACTGTGTGATTGTATAGGACAAGCAATTGTGGAAAGAGCTAATCACGCTCTAAAAGAGATGCTTACAAACTGGAAAGGGTATATAAGGACTTCCAGGGATGGATTTCAAAATGCTTTACTAACTTTAATTTTTTGATTGTTTTGTTTTGTTTTTCCAGACAAGGTTTCTTTTTAGCTCTGGAGCCTGTCCTGGAACTAGCTCTTGTAGACCAGGCTGGCCTCGAACTCACAGTGATCCCCCTGCCTCTGCCTCCCGAGTGCTGGGATTAAAGGTGTGTGCCTTTTTTAGTGCTAATGAAGCAGGGACAACAGTTGCTGAAAGTCACTGAACCATAAGAAAAAAACTGCTGAATTGAATTGGCCTGTGTATTATAAAGATGTTTTAACATCAGAATGGAAACCAGGGAAAGTGTTAATAATAGGACTGAGGGTATGCTTATGTTCCTACAGGACACACAAATTTGTGGATACCATCAGAACTGACATGAGCAAGAGAAGTCCCTTGGATGCTTTGGCTGCTGACATCGGTGACTTGACTTGGGGAAAGAAGAGATACAGAAAGCCATTGAAGTAGACAGTTGATCCTTTCACCTTGGGGACAGCTTAAGAATTTGTGTGGCAAAGAGGGAACATTAGTCTGACGGACCAGAAAAACCTCTGGATGCTACAGCTTTGTTCTTTGTTATGCTGTTTGTGGTAACTGCAAAGGTAACAGGGACCAAATATACATCTTGGGCCTATGTTCCTAATCCTCCAATTAACAGGAGTAAGCTGGGGAGATATGGATATTCTTGTGGTGGTTATTGAATAGCCTCAGCTACTTGGTCCTTATAACAACTGAGGACCTGCTCAGCCATGAAGGAGGGTAAGGAAATCATAAACTATATGGTGGGGGTGCAAGGAATTGCCATTTGTATGGGTAATGGAATTCAGTGTCTAAATATATTTCAAGTGTGGTTATCTGTAGTTAATACTAGCCGGGATCATCATAAATTTTATATGCTTCATGCATGCGGTTTTAGAGGACAGGAGATTAATACTAGTAGTTCCATAAATCTACTGCCTGTGAGATTTGAGTCACCAACAAGAGATCTGACTGGGTATATTGGCAACAATGTAAGAATGAGAACCTGGTGTGGGAAGTCCTTCTGTGTGTGTGTTGCTTGTATTGGCTAATGGATAAAGAAGCTGCTTTTGGCCAGTGGCTTAACAGAGTACAGCCAGGCCAGAAAAGAGAGAGAGTAGGCAGAGTCAGGGAGACGCCATGGAGCCTTGCCAGAGACAGACATGCCAGAACTTTATCCAGTAACCCACAGCCATGTGGTGATACACAGATTAATGGAGATGGGTTAGTTTAGGAAAGCCAATAAGAAACTAGAGCTAATAGGCCAAGCACTGATTTAAATAATATAGTTTCTGTGTGATTATTTCGTGGCCTGGGCAGCTGGGAACAAACAAGCAGCCTTCTGCAACAAATGGGCACCTGGTCTCTGCCTACAGGAACCCTCAAGGGCTATCAGTAACTATCTCCCGTGGAGGCAGCATTGACTGGAGCCCTATGGCTCCCCTCAAGGAAAATATCCTCACTCAGAATTAAGATGCTCAAATGTAGTTCACGTGACACTGTGGGGGTTAGCTCTACTGTTAATGAATCTATTCGATGACATGGAGTTGGATGTCAGGTCTTCTCCTGCAATTTGGCAATTCAGGATTAATTTAGGAAAATTAGCAAATGCCTTACACCTTCTCGAAGCACGGGAAGGAAAGCTAAATGTTAAGGGTGATGAGTCTCCTTTGTCTTTTAGACTAAATCAGCATCACCCCTTGGTTGCTGTGCTCCATGACCTTATTTGTTACTGAATGAACCTGTACAGTGGCACCCTAATAATTACAGCATCCCTAGTGAATGCTGTAGTCTTCATACCTGTATTAATTCTTGGGTGCCTTCTAATGTAACCTCTGAACGTCTGTACATCCTTAGAGCAAGGCCAGCCATCTGAATACCAGTGAAGCTGTCGAGACCATGGCAACGCTCACCTGTGATGAGTGAGTGCAGAAAGAATATTAAGATGAACTCGTCAACCTCTTGGACTGGTTGTTGTCGTTTGGAGCATCGTTGCATTGGCTGCTGCTGCTACAACAGCTGGACCGGCACGTCATACGGAAACTCAAATGCTGAGATCTTTAGAGACTGGCATACGCATCCTAGAGAACTGAGGGCTCAACAAAATAGTGAGGTAGTTAATGAAGCAGCTGATTTGAGACAAAGCTGTTATCCTGATGGGAGGTTGATGTGGGAAGTCATTTGTCAATCTGTTGTTTCATTGGTTAATCAATAAAGAAAACTGCTTGGCTTGATAGGTCAGAACGTAGGTAGGTGGGGAAGACAGAACAGAATGCTGGGAGGAAGAGGAAGTGAGCCAGACGCCATGCCTCTTCTCTCCAGGGCAGACGCGATGAAGCTCCAGCCCAAGATGGACATACACTAGAATACTTTCGTGGTGCTACACAGATATATAGATATGGGTTAAGCAACATATGAGAGTTAGCCAAGAAGAGGATAGATATAATGGGCCTGGCAGTGTTTAAAAGAATACCGTTTCCGTGTTGTTATTTCGGGGCATAAGCTAGCCAGGCAGCTGGGAGCTGGCGGCAGGAATGCTGCCCACAGCTCCTTCTACAGGAGGTCAGTTAGAAATATTGGAGGAAGAGATACAATTAAAATGGGTTGGAGTGCTGCATCCGATCGTATTACACCTTTAAGGTTCAGCAATAGCAAGCATGGCTGGAAGAGTTTAAGATGCGTCTGACAGGTCAACCTAATTCTCCCTAAATAATTTATGACTTATAGCAAGAAACGAAGGAAACTTTTCCAAAAGGGTTACCTCATGTGACAGGAGTGGATGTATGGAAAGCCTTGTAGATGCATCAGTCTCGTTCAGCCCTGCATATCGCTTTAACAGATTTCTTGTTCTAGCAATTACTACCCTTGTTCTAGCAGTAAAAACTTTACTGGCTTTAAAATATATTTTGGCTTATTTGCCTAAAATCATGAAACAAAACAATGGGGGGGAAGGCTGTATTTACTGTAAGGCCAAATAATCTCCAACATTATATCTTAGTTATAACTTATAATTATACACTTATTAATTATAACTTATAATTATATTACAATTATATCTTAAACAGAAGGGGGGAGCTGTAATGAGATTCCACAAAGTCTTTGGCTGAACTTCCAGTGTGATAGTGCCTAGGCTTTTGTTTAAAGTCAGTGATTGTTGCCTTCTGTTTACAATGTTTCTTATCTGAGTTCTCCCTGAAGGATTCCAGAGTCTTTGCAAAACTTAGCGAGGAGAGAACCTGGCAAACAGGGAGGTCTCCAGCTGAGGACTGCTTAGGCAAATGGCTCCTTCAACCAGCTCCAGATAAGTGGTTATGGTATGCAGAAATCGCTTGTTAAGGTGTAAATTGTGTAAAAGGGAAGAAGCTTTCCAGAAAGCAACGCCCAGTTCACCAGGAGCTGGTTCGCCGCCCAGTTCACCAGGAGCTGGTTCGCCGGATGCTTTCGCTGAACCTGAAATTCATCTTGAAAGAATCGTTTTTTCCTCAACAGACCCTGTCAACCAGAACACCTGCAGGAGGGGCTCAGCATGTTATCCTGGCTGTGCGGTTGCTCCTGTGTGTGCAAGAAGGAAGGCTGAGCTAGTTTTTAAGCTGTGCTCCTCCTGGGCTATGCCACAGCCCCACCTGAGTCCCTACCCTGCCTTCCGTGGTGAGCAACTGTAAGGTGGGATAAACTTAGCCCTGTCCAAGTTGCTTTGGTGCTCATCACAGCAATAGAAACACTAGCATGAAAACGCCCACACATTTGATGACTTAAAGCCCCCCAAATGACTTAGCAGTTACAAGCACTTGCTATGCTTGCAGAGGGTCCAAGTCTGGGTCTAAGATCCTACATCACGCAGAAGTTCACAACCACCTATGACTCCAGCTCCAACACCATTTTTGTTTGGCTTTCATGGGCATGGCGCTCGCGTGTGCATGCGCACCCCTCCCCCCCCACACACACACAAACGTTTTTTTTTTTTTTTTTTTTACAAAGTGTGTGAAGGTTAAGGCTCTGAAACAAGATGTCAGTGAGGTCACACACCCTCTGAAGGCTGGAGGGGAGTCTGTCACTGTCCTCTTGGGTGGTGATTTTGCACAAGCTCCAAGCCCCTATTTCCCATGTGTCTCTTCACTGTGTGCATGTATGGGGGGCAGGGTAACTTGTTCTTGCAGTTGTCTGTGGAGACAGGAGGTTGACACCAACGGTTTTCCTCTACCACCTCCTGGGTCTCCCACTGAGCCTGGAGCTCTCTCCGTTTCAGCTAGGCTGGGCAGTGAGCTGCTGAGGTCCTCCTGTCTCTACCTCTCAGCAGGCTGTGATTACCTGCAGGCACTGCTGTACCCCACTTTCAGGGATCAAACTTGGGGGTTCTCATGTTTGCTTAACAAGGCCTTTACCTGCTGAGCCATCTTCCCGGTTTACACCATATTTTTTAAAAGGTTTGCTTTTAAATGGGGAGCAGGTATGTGCTTGTGAGTGCAGGCGCCCAAGGAAACCAGAGATACCGAAACCTCCTGGAACTGGACTTCCAGACATTACCAGACCACTTGATGTGAGTACTAGGAACTGAGTTCTCTGGAAGGGTCTCGATCTTAACCACCAAGACCTGCACCATCCTCATCTGACAACATCTGAAATTCAGGGGCCACTGGCCAACAAGTTCCTCCCAAAACAGGATATGAAGGTGGTGGCGACCTCTAAGCTGCGCCGGCTCAAACCTGTTTCAGAGGCAACCTCTCCATGTGGCCCTCTCCTCTAAAGGACGCCTCAACTTCAGGGGACCGTGCACTGGTAGATGTGTCCAACATATTATAGAACAGTCTGGATTCTGGGTAAAATGGATTTCCATGAAGAACACACTGCTCTCTTGGAGTGTCCACCCCAGGGAGGTCCAGAGGAAGGGACACCCGGGACGGGAAAGATAGATTCCCCAGGCCTGCCAGGCTCGGGTGACTGTCCCCAGCTCAGTTCCCTCTCTACGGAATGGTTTCTTGCCTCTTTGCTGGCTCTAAGTGAACACTCAACTGCTCCCTGTGTGCTGCACTGAGTGTCGGGTGGGACCCTGTCTTCAGGAGCAATGGCAACTTACTGGAAAGCCACAGGAAGGAGAGGGTCTCAAGGCCCCGCCCCCACCCGTGACGAACCTTGCGTGGGGGGCGGGGCATCTTGTGCTAATAACTAGCTGCCCTGTGCTCTTGAGTAGCAACAACTCAGTCTCCTTTCAGACAGGGCCATGTTCTCAGCTTCCAGCAGGCACGGGAAGGGGGCAGTAGCTATTGTATATGCTAGCCCTCAGGACAACTTCAGCTGTGGTGACTCACACCCGCGGTCAGAGGCCAGCCTGGGTTGCATGTTCCACACCTGCCTGGGTTACTTGAGGAGATGCAGGCCACTCCGGGCAACATGACAAGTTCTAGGCTAGCCTGGGCTATACATAGTGAGTTCCAGTGTGGGATGTTTATAACGTACTCTTATGGAAGTGCCTACAGTCGTGTCCAAATATTTGGGGGAGCACGAGGGATCTCACTGGATGCGGACGCTTGCTGATTGTCTAGCAACCCAACCCAGTGCTGAACCACTAATAGATGCTCAATAAATGGTTTGTTGAATGAATGAATGAACCCCCGGCAGAAGCAGCAAGGGTTGGGTACAGAATGTTCTGTGCCTGAGAGACAGGCTGGGATGGGCCTGTCTACAAGATGGCAGGGGTGCCACAAGCTTCAGGGGATTTCCCTGCCCCCCTGTGAAGAGGCCCAGTTCTTCCCCTGCGTCGGACATCCCCGGGGGTTCTAAGGGCAGGTCAAGGCAGGCAGAAGCCACAAAAGCTCAGCCGAGGAGGCTGCAGCTTCCTGCTGTCTTCTGGCGGTCGCCATCAAAGGATGCAGCACCCTCCGGCAAGGATGGCCGAGGAAGGTCTCCCTCGCCCGTGGGTGCTGCCACGCCTGAGTTGGGCCACCGTCCTGCGCCTTAGCCTCCTGCTGGTACTGCTTAGTTTCGCGATCTTCTGTTTTATCTGCTGTGTCCAGTTCCAGAGACCACAGCAGACGCAGTTGGAGCCACTTGAGGTGAGAGGAGGAAAGAAGGGGAAGGAGGGGAGGGAAGCACTCGGGTGCTCTGGAGGGGACCCTACAGGCGCAGGGAGGATGCACTTAAAGGATGCGCCAGAGCGCAAGGACGCGTAAAAGAGGCAAAATCGGAACGAAATAGGTGGGAAAGAGGAAGATGGGACAGATAGAAGACAGGAAAGGCTGAGCAGGGAGGCCAGGCCGGCCCCAGTTGCCTGGGAGCACACGGGGGATCCCGGGCTGGGCATGATGCAGCCTTAAACTGCTGGGATGCTTCAGCCCGGTCCGGGCGTTTCCGACCACGCCCGCCCGCGACTGAGAGTCAGACTGCTGGGGTCTTCACGAATCTAGGGCTGGAGGGGGTGGGGGTGGGGGGGATAGCTAGTGAGGATTGGAGCTTCCCAGGACTGAGAGGCCCCACAAGTGGTAGGAAGGAGGGCCTGAGCCTCCCCCCCCCCCCCCAACTCCGTTCTGTTCTAGGAAAACAAAGCGATCTTGTTACTGAAACTTTCACAGGCCTGGGTAAGACTTTACAGCAGAAAAAAAAAAATGTAGACTAGGCCGGTGGGAATGCAGGATGGACGGCAGCAAGCAGGCACATGGGACCGATAGTCTCTCAAGCCCTCTGCACTCATGAGCTTTCTCTGCTTTCTGGTATTTTTTTCCAGGTGCATGTAGCCGAGGTACAGCTGAATCTCACAGGTAAGGCTGGAATTCCAGAGGGGTGAGAGGTGGGGACAGGAAAGAGGGAGGCAGGAACATAGGAAAGGAGTGGCCCCTGGCTCGACCTGAGCTAGGAGTGCAGAGCCAGCAACCCAACACCCAGCACCCAGCACCCAGGAGGCCCTAGGTTTCATCCTCGGCACCACCTGAGGCAGGCTGCTGGTCTACACTTGTCATCCCAGCATTTGGGCAACAGAGGGAGGAAGGTCATCCTCTGACACATCGGGAGTTTGAAGCCAGCCTGAGTTACTTGGGATCATCTCAATAAAGCAAATAG